TATATGATAGTGGGACAAAGAGACTTTGATATTTGTGTGGTTGAATTGTAGTTTCTCCTGCTGTTTGATAAGTAGGGCGTCGTTTGAATCCGTTCCCTTTGTTCATTTTTTAAAAATACTTTTTTCTTTATGAAGCAACCTTATTGCTAGAATTATATGCTGGTCACTTGTATCCTTGGCAGCAATGCAGTTGTGCAATTTCAGGATAAAAACAACACGTTTTGTAAAATATATTGCCTAAGAATGTGCATCAAAACTATTTGATTTATCCTTTACATTTGCTCAGGTTTGTTTTGTTTGTTGCTATTTTTCTAGTAACACATTTACCTAATAATAAGCCATGAGAAAAAAATTGGTTAATCACAAGCAAATAACTGCATCAGGATCATTTGTGTCCAAATAAATATCAATGATCACAAGAAAAGGGAGAAATGTTATAAAAGTCTATTATTATTTCAATTGTATGCCTCTACAAGGAAGAAACAAATGTGCTTCTTTTAATGTGAATATTAATATTGTTTACGTAAAAATCTTAAGATTTGAAATTTAATATGAAGCATGATAAAAAAGAATTATGCAGAAATATGGTTTCAAAGTGTTAGTAATTTAAAATGCATGGTCATTGGAGAGTGAAAATTAAATTTCAATTCCATCGGCAACCTTCAAGGAGTAATGAATCTGGAAAGATTATAGATGGAGTGGGAAACCATTTGTGGTTGGTCAATTCACACTACCTCAGTTTCATTTCAACTTTTTTGTGCTTCTTTTTTTCATCAATCATGGGTCTCCATTCGGCGTAATGAAATCTGACTCCCACTTTAAGTGTGTATCTCCATTAAGAGTTGCATCTGTGCCCATGTAGTAAGCGGGTCAAAGTTCAGAACTTCAGTGACCAGGAGCCACTGATGTTCTGCGCAGCCAGGTAAAAATAACATTTTTTTCACAATCGTTCACAGCAGTTAAGAATGGACAAAAGATATGTAAGGTAAATTGTCCAAAAAGAATGTTGCATCTCTGACATGCTCTCTTATCAAAGCAAGGTCCAGGGCTGCATTTTAAAATAAAAGTCATTTGCTTTACATGAGAGAGGCACAGATCTCCATATTGCTGTCCTAGAAATCTAGCAAATTAATCTGGTTTCATTTGATTACAGTGAAAATCTGAGAAGATGTAGACCTTAATGCAGACTTGTGCTGAATTTTGAACTACTGTACTTGCCTAATGAAATATTAAAAGCACTTAGTACTGTCAAGCAATATCTTCAGCTGTTCCCTGGAGAGACTTACGAAACTAGGGGTGGGATTCTTGCTTGTTTTTATTTTTGCAACCATCCTAAGGAGCTCTGGGTGACTTGACAGGAGCCTTGTCTTTCAAACCTCTACGTTTTCACTAATGGCTGATAATCACTTTAAGTCGTTTTGAAGAAGTGTTTTAGCACTTTACTGGAGGAACCAATTAGAAAGCCTCTGAATCATTACATGTTCCTGAATTATCTTGGTGCCTTGGAGACGCATAAAAGAAAATTGAGTTTTGTCAGTATGAGGTCGTGGAAGCTAAAATTTGAAGCTGCAGTCATTGTTGTAAATATCCTTGACATTAATGCTAAGATTGTGTTTGGAGATGTGTAGTTGCACAGAACATCTCCCTGTCTAACAGTAGGCTGAGAAAATCAGACGTCATTTAAACAAAATTACATGTGAATTTCTGTGGCTGTACAGAGTCTGGAACCATAAAGAAAGCTACCTTTGCTCTAATTTGATTCTTTGATTGAATAATGAACATCTGACCATTTTCTACACAGCTTCTGTGTGATATTTATCTTTTATATATGTAACAAAAGAAGCTGCTTTTATGAAAATTATGAAGCAGATAATGAGTTTTTGACCTTCAATTTGAATTATTAAACCTCTAATCAAAAAGCTTGAGAGGGTTTTAATCTTCTCTTGAGTCCTTCTGTCTGTCCCCTTATCTCTGTGTGATGTAATTTCTTTTCTGCCTGACCACAAAAGCAGCTCACTTTTAGGTTTTCACCAGTACTGCCATGTTTTAATGTGCAGAGTGATGACTCTCTCTTCCTTGTTTGCCGTGAATTGCCATCTATCTATTCCAGACCTTCACTACAATGAGCACCATCCTCCTCACCCAACACTACATTTCAACCCCAAACAACTGGAATTGATAATTCCTCATGCCACCAATTTGTGTTGCAGCATTATTCACTCAACTGTACCATTTCAATGTGGCATGGGATTATTTTACAGATCCATGTCAAGCTGAAGTGAGTGTAATGGCTTTGTCTCCTCATGCTGTAGAATCCCACACTTTTTCATATTTGGGACAATTCCTGCTGCTCAAGCATCTGTATATGAACATCCACACAGCTAGGCTGCTCAGTTCCTCATTTGATTCCCAGCACCGCTAGAGATGGCAGAAACACTTTTTATTTCACTTGAAATAGAGGATCTTTTACCATCTGTGGATAAGTTTCAAGCTAAATATTGCATGTTTATAAAATCTTCAAGTGACTCTCACTTTCTATCTATTATTGTGTCTTGAATAGTCCAGTGGATGAATGCTTTTTTCTTTAAAAAAAGGTCAATATGTGCTGTTCAACAGGATTTATTTCTTTTTTTATGTGGAAGTAATTCCACGATGGCAGCAGTGTTGCCTACAATCCTTTGTCACAGTTTCTAAAAATTTCCATTAGTGTGACTTTAGCCCCAGAGTTTCCAGATTGCAGTGGGTGCTATCATAAAGAAATTTACTGCTAAGATAAAAATAATGCTCATGCAATCAGTGAACAGAGAGTCGCATGGACTGTGCATAATATAATTTTCCAGTATGTGCTGCAATTCTCACCACCTGCATATGCTCAGAAAACATAGGCTTTAGTCACCATGACTGCCAGATGACCATTTCTTTTAGTGGGCATATGGATGTTTTTTTTCGTAGCACTGTTGTCAAAATCAGTTATACAGCCAAAATCCTATTAAACTATCAATTATTTATCTCTTGAATTATTATGAAATGTCATGCGAACACCACCTTTCTTAAAAAAAAGGATTGAATTATGCACTAACTATACTCATCTCCCAATTTACTTAACAAATTGTCCTGTCATATATATGATAATCTTACTCTGCAGAGTAAAATGAGTCTTATTTTCCAGCTCCAGTACATGCTGTGACCAAGGCTCGGGTTTCAGCCTTTTAAAAATAGTGATCAGCGTTTTCATTTTGGAACATTGTAGCCATGCGGAAAATAGCGTATTATACATTTTTCTGAACATTTTAGGATATTGTTGGTTTCAGTTTCCTATTGAACAAAATGTTCCAGTGTTCCACAATATTTTTGTGTCCAGCAAGGAAACCTGAAGAGTCTGGTCTATTTGTTTTATTTTGTATCATTATAGAAAGAACTCTGAATACCTTGGAATCTGAAATGTCTGAAGAAATGTTATAAAGTATTTGATGCTGCAAACAAATGATAGAAATGAAAGATAAAATATTTGACACTATGGAACAACAATCTGGAGTCCCATGTTCATCCAATTCGTCGTATAATAAACATCACTTACACAAGAAGAAAGAAACATTTGTGACAATTTCATTACTTGATTCAAAGACAGCCCTGGTTTTCAGTCCAATGTCCTGATACCAGTGTGGCTATATTTGAATTTGGAAATATGGAAATGCCAATTATGGGACCCTGGCAGAAATTTTTGAGAGGCGACTAATTAAGTCTTTGCCTCAGAGAGACCAGTCCAATGAAGGATAATAGGATGGGGTCCTGGGCCTGCTGGGCCAACAGGAAGTGTGCCAGCACTGAGATTGGCAGCCGCAGTGTCAGAATTCAAAGTTGCAGACATTAAGTGAAAGAAAGGTGTACTTTAGAGATATGTTTAGTACAAAAATTACAAAGAAGTCACAATTACCAGGTTGTAATCATTTAGGAGGACTTCTTTTGCAAATGATGATGAATCTAGATTGTAAAGGTAGTCTCAGTAAAGGTAAGAATGACATTCAGCATTTATTTTTTGAAAAATCCATCGGGTTCATTAATGCCCTTTAAATCTGCCATCCTTTCCTGGATTGGCCTCCATGTGACTGCAGACTCATAGAAATATGATTGATTCTTAAATGGCCAAACAAGCCAGTCTGTTCGAGATCAATTTGGAATTGGCAAACAAATGCAGGCCTTGTCAGCGACACCTACAACCTATGGGAAAAAAGAAACATAGTTATGGCTTTCCAGGATGGTGTCAGTTTGTCAGAGAGAGTACCAGGCCTTCAGCAGCTGCCAGACAACTACCTATTTTAGGCCAGTTTGTGCCTTACTTGGGAGCCCACATTGCAAGCAGTGGATAGCTGTCACTTCCTCCACCCTTTAAACCCCTCAATCAATTCAACAAGTTAAAAATGCCAGGAAATCAGCACACCAGCCAACAGTAGAAAATTGCAGGCACTTACATCTTAGTAACCTCCTCTACAGCCCTTTAAAATTAAAATTAAAAAGTGAAAGAACTGCAGATGCTGGAAATCAGAAACAAAAACAGAAATTGCTGGAAAAGCTTAGCAGATTTGGCAGCATCTGTGGAGAGAAATCTGAGTTAACGTTTTGAGGTTCTGTCCATGTTCTGAAAGAGGATCACTGGACCTGAAACAGTAACTCTGATTTCTCTCCACAGATGCTGCCAGACCTGCTGAGCTTTTCCAGCAATTTCAGTTTTTGTTTCTTTAAAATTCCAGGCCTTTTTTGGTGTTTTACTGTGTAGTTTGGACTTCTGTGTGTACATGTGCTTTTGCATGTTGATATCCGGAGTTTTTGTTGTTTGTAACGATTATCAGGAGGTTAGTCTGATCTCAAATATTTCCTTTTTAATATTAATGTCAACAACTACATCTAAATCCTGCAAATATGATCATTTATTTTGGTGCCAGGTTGTGCATTTCTGCCAAACTTTATTGAACTTTTATTTTAAACATCTTTTCTACCTGCAGTCCTACCACTCAAGTCCTTGATGAAGATGAACCACGCTGCCTTGAAGAGGTTGATTACAGTGCTGAGAGCAGCGATGAGCAAGACATTGATCTAAATGAAACAGCTGACTTTGACACCCAATACTTTGACCCAAGTACACAGGAGGAGCAACTCTCCGATTCTGACATCCCAAAGACAGACTTCTTTCTCTAAGTTATAAATCACCAAAGAGGCTGGAAAATAAGTCTGATATCCTATAACCAATTAAAAAAATCAGGGTTAAAATAGTCTGCTTTGAGTAAGAGCTAGCTCACTCAGACATATTGGCTAAATTAATAATAAATATACTGCTGGTAAGACTGGAAAATTCAACTCTGTGTTATTGACTTCAAGTGCATTTGTACAAGTCAGGATAGAATCCTCTGCTGTTTTTATTTTCTCTGGATGCAGTTGCATGGCTGAAGGTTTGTTCCCACTGATTTTGTATGCGATTTTACTTTTCACTGTTAGTCTGTATGCACAGATTGTTCTCAAGATATGTACCAGTGATTCTTTGAGGGCAAATAGTAGTTTGTGGAGAAGTTGGTATTGGCTTGTCTGTTCAAACTTCAAATGACATCTGTATTTATTTCACCAACTTTCATTTTAGTTGTGTCAGACAGTGTTCCAGGATCGCTTGATGAGAAATACGCTGCTTCAGCTACAATGTTCAAATATTGAGAATTATATTGTTATTGTTACATAGAATTGATCTGTCTTGAAATGTATCCATCCTGCTGCTGAAAGAATATAAGTTGCACCTTGCTGTGGATTATATAAAAGGTAAAAGCTGGCTGTTACTGTATTTAAATTTATTGCCAACATTACCATACAATGTTGACACTATGTACAGCGAATTGTTAGCTTGTCATGAATAATGAAATGATGTAATTTTGATTTTCAGACTACAAATTAAAGAATTGTATTGTGGTAGTAAATTTGCATACACCTGTCAGTATTGTTTCTATTTTTGTGCCTAAAATGCTAATAAACTAAAAGCTTTAAAGCTCTGTTTCAATACATGGCTGTTGTAGGGCATTCAGAAATCAGAGCCTGACTGACCATTCCATGCTCGAAACCTCAGCCTGCACTCTCTCTCAAAATCTTTTCTTAGAACAGTGTATCCCAAACTACTTGCGAATGTGACTCAATTTTAATGTTTAAAAATTAATGTAACTCCAGCCACACAATAGCAAAACAGTAATAAAGCAAAACAATAATCTTCAGCATATAATCATTAAGTTTTGTAGATCAACGTTATAAATGTGGAAGTGCTTTTAAAGTATTTTGTAAGAATGTTACTGTATGTATTCACCAGTCCGTTACTTCAACTGACACACTTCAGTTCATGGACATTGGCTACGAAGCAGCAGATACTAGTGATATTTGCATTTGCATTAATCATTGATTTTATTATTCACTCAGTGATATTGAGTTTTCTGGCTGGATCAGAGTTTATTGCCCATCTCAATTTGCCCTTGAGACAGTTGTGGTGATATGCTGCCTTGAACCAGTGCAGCCCGTTTGATGATGTTACACCACATTATTGATTTTAATGCGAGACGAGCTGAGTAAAGTTTTAATTTTCTCCTGAAGATTCCAGTTCCTCTTCCCAACCCCTCAAAACAGTATAATTGGTTCCTCACCCCCAGCACTTCCATACACGGACACAGACACAGGCCCACACGCACACTCTGTAATCTGCTGCTAACCCCATTAACATACACTTCAATTATGCTGTAATCACACACACTAGTTGGCCCTTTACGGATCAGCAAAGCAGTGCTGGGCAGTGGGCAGGTTCAGCAGTTTTAACAGACCAAATCCCATCCTGATCCCAAGCCAACAAACTGTATGGCTCTATGGGTAATAATTGTAAATGATCTTGGAAGAAGAACCAATCCCAAAAGTGAGAGACAAACAGCATAGAATCTGCTTGGAGCTTGGTGCGGTGCTCAGTCTCAGAGGAGGGGGATCTTGCACCCACAAATGCTGTTTCTATGACCCAAATAGGATTACAGTTTTGAAAGTGTTGTCATAAAAGTTTATTTCTAGCTTGCACAGGGGATAGCCAATTTAATTTTTTAAAATGTGTACATAAAACCTAATAAAAAGACATGCAATAAAAAGTTGGGTGTGCAAAGTAATTAGTCATAATTTAAACTGTATAAATACATGTAGCAGTTAATTGCTAAAATTTGAAATGTACGTGGAGCTACAGTGCAGTGGTTAAGAGAGCATGCTCATGCACCAGTTTAACCACCATTTTGTGATGGCAAAACAGGGGTTAAATTCCAGCAATATGGTTACACAGACTTTGAATCCCTGATCCTTGGTTGTTGTCAGTCGGCACATAAGTTTTAAGATGTTAGTGAGCACAGTCAGTCTATATGTGGGGCAAGCAGAAACTTTGTAAATTTCTATAGCTAGTTTTGGATTTTTACAGATCTAGAATCATAGAACCCCTACAGTGTAGAATCAGGCCATTTGGCCCATCAAGTCCACACCAACCCTCCGAACAGCACCCTTCCCAGACCCCCACACTATCCCTGTAACCCTGCATTTCCCATGGCTAATCTACCAAGCCTGCACACCTCTGGACATTATGGTCAATTTGGCATGGCCAATCTACCTAGCCTGCACATTTTTGGACTGTGAGAGGAAACCCACAAGGAGGATGTGCAAACTCCACACAGTTGTCTGAGTTTGGAATCGAACCTGGGTCCCTGGTGCAGTGAGGCAGCAGTGCTAACAACCACTGACCAGCTCAGGCCAATCAAAAATAGAGATTCACCAATCTCTGACATCAGTTATATCAGTTTTTTCTTTAATAATAAATGGAAGAAAAAGAGTGGAGTTCTTATAACACCTTTCGTGAGCTTAGAACATTTGAAAATGTTTTACAGCCAACAAAGTACATTTGAAGAAGAGCTGTATTGTAATGTTGGGAAATAAAGCTGCTGATTGTGCGAAACAAAATAGTGTCCTTTAATAGGCTCAAATTATATCCTACTTATTTCTACAGTAACATATAAAGTGTAGAGAGGTCAGAACTTATGAATAAATATGCAGTACATACATGCATATACTTTATGGAGTAGATTCATGGTTCACCTTCCCATCTTTTGAGTAACAATAAGTTGAGCAATTGCTACCTCATTAATCAGCAAATAATATACAGTATAAACAACACCATAATAAAGTATATACATAAGGGGCAGTGGTGGCACAATGGCTAGTTCCCCTACCTCTGGGCTAGAAGGCCTGGTTTCAATTCTGTCCTGTACCTGAAGTGCATGATAACATGTCTGAACAGATTGATTAAAAATATTTATAATGGACTTTAGGAAGTAAACATCATATATTAATGTTTTCTTTGTACTGTTCTATTCTAAATATGAATATTTCATATTAGGTTTCAATTCAGCATCTTTTGTTAATACTTCTCTTGAACGTCTATCCGGGACAAATGGAGTTACTCCCCTGCTTTTCTTTGAAATTGCGCCATAGATCTTTAATACCTGCCTGAGCAAGTAGCAGAGAACTCTGTTTAATGTCTCATCTGAAATATGATATGGTTGATGGTGCAGTTCTCCCCCTGTATTGCGCTAGTGTTTAAGCCTTGATTTTTCTACTCAAGCCTTGGAGTGGGGCTTAGAACCTGGAACCTTGTGACACAGAGTGAGAGTATTACCAACTAAGCCACAAGTGATAGCTTGTTAACAAGCATATTGACTGGGATAATTTGCTGCACATGGCATGCTGAGGTTGATATGTACAGAGTGACTTTATGGGCCACATGACCAAAAGTGGGACGGGAGGGGTCACCATTCGGAGTGTTGGGGGTAGGGTGGTGTATGATCTGTGCAACAGGAGCATTCCCCCCGCCCCCCCCCCCACCCCACCTAGATGTCACCTATCTTTCTTCTTTGCCACCGGAATGACAGAAAATGAATGCCCATGCCCTTCTCTTCCCTCCGGGCACTGGGTCACTTGCTGCCCTAAAGCTCTAGCACTAATGTTTCTGGGCCAGTCATGATTCTGTTCAGGCTTCTTTTTGTACCGCCCAGCAGCACCCACTACTCAGCTTGGGTGTGGCCAACAGGTGATAGAGCTTACAACCAATCAGTTTAGCTAACATCTCCCAAGGGTGGAAGTCTATCCCATTATGTTCTGAGTTTATGCAAGCACAAGCTAATGGTGTGCAGTCAGTATTTTGCCAGTTGTGAGCAGTCAAAGAGATGTGCTATTTAATTCAATCCATCAATTGTTAGGACATGCAGTATACATGCCTGGCATAATCTGCACTGGAATTCATATCCCACATAATTAACTTGTGAGATAGGCTGAACGTCTGATGATTGGAACTTATGAAAAACTTCCCCCCCACAGCTTCTTATCCTCCTTGTTACGAAATCTGAGATCTCACTCTTTTCTCTTGAATTGCCCCTTTCTTTGTAATCATTACCTTAGTGCCTCTACCTCAGCGCCAGGGACCCATGTTCGATTCCACCTTCGGGCGACTGTGGAGTTTATATGTTCTGTCTGAGTCTGCATGGGTTTCCTCCAGGTTCTCCAGTTTCCTCCCAAAGGTAAGCTGGTTGGGTGAATTGCCCTGTTAAATTGCCCATAGTATCCAGGGATGTGCAGGCTAGGTAGATTAGCCATGGGAAATGTAGGGGTAGGGTGGTGGGTCTAGGTGGGATGCTCTTCAGAGGGTCAGTGTGGATCCATGGGCAGAATGGCTTGCATCCATACTGTAGGGAATCTATGATATGCCCCTACCAAAATTGCCAAAAGCCCAACTGACTGCAGAAGAAATCATTTTTTTTCTCAATGTCAAGGTTCTGATTTTTTTCATTTTTGCCATATTTTTCTACATTTCTGGCCATAGCCTATGCCACACAACAAGTGGAAAATTCCACTCATGATGTCCTCTAAAATAAGCTTCCAAAATATCTTTAGGTTGTTTAGTATCCTAGGACCAGTTTGTGTATTATCAGCATCATGCCATCTATTCCAGGTTTCAAACATACATCATCAGAATCCATAGGATCCTCCCCTTCAGACATTGAACATACTCCTATTTGATTTTCTATTCAATTCTCAACTTCCTCTGATTATGTTATGTATATTATTGATTCTATCATAGATTGTTACAGTTCTGCTTCTGAATTCATAAAGTTCAGATATTTTACTAGTTGCTTTGCAAATAAACATTCATCCCCCTATCTGTGTTCTGAATGTATTTTGTGAACTTTGAACTGCATTTGTTTTGTATCATGTAACCTTGACAGAACTAAATCTTCAATGTTTACTAAAAAAATGTTGAGCAACAGAGAAACTTTAAGAATTTCGTCATTTGTGTGGTCCTCAGAAGTAAGAAACTGTACTTACTTTGGTTTCCCTCCAAATACTTCTCAGACCTCTCATAAAGTTAAAAGTCTCTGATGTTAAACCTGAACATATCATTATTTAGAAGATCAAGATAAATTCTATCATTAGATCTTCTAAGTTTTCACCCTGTAATATCAAATTTTCTACACCTGGGAGGCGATGGCCTAGTGGTATTATCGCTGGATTATTAATCCAGAGTCCCAGGTAATATTCTGGGGATCCATAGCAAATGGTGGAGTTTGAATCTAATAAAAATCTGAAATTAAGAGTTTAATGATGACCATGAATTTGCTGTCAATTGTTAGAAAAGCCCTTCTGGTTTACTAATATCCTTTAGGAAGGCAGTTGCCATCTGCTGATTTGGTCTGGTCTAAATGGGACTCCAGACCCATAGCAATGTGGTTGATTGACCCTTAACTGCCCTCTGGGCAATTGGGGGTAGATAATAAATGCTGGCCTAGCCAGTGATGCCCTTATCCTGTGCATAAATAAATAATAGTTTTTAAAAATCCATCATGATTGTTCTTAGAACACAGGAGGAAATCTACATGTTAAATGTTGAGAAAGAACTGAACTGAGCTGCGGAATAGTTAGTTTCAAAGGACTGAG